TAGTCATAGGGTACAAATAAGCAATCAGGAAACAATAAATATCAATATAAATCCTAGGGATACAAGCAACAAAGTTACAATCATAAGTGGGAGGAGATGGGTGATGGGAACAATGAGAAAATTAATAGTAATAGTATTGCAGACTTAGTAAATAGTTTGCCAGTGTTGAGGGAATTATTTGTTTAGCAGAGTGATGGCGTTTGGGGAAAAAAAAAGACATTTCGCTTCTCATCCAAGAAGCTTCAGTTCTGGTTCTGGTCAAGCATCTTCAAGGAAAAACAAAAAAAAAGTCCATTTGCCTTTTGAAAAAGCACCTTTGAGACAGACTTATCAAGCTGTTTCTTTTCAGACTAAGCAACATGGAAGAAAATGAGCAAGAAAGAATAAGAAATAAAAATAAGAAAAATTAATTATAGGTACAAGAAGAGGAACATAGCTAAAAGAAGTTCCACCAGGCATTCCATGCATAGTAGAGAACGTTATCAGCCTTATTTGTACCTATGTCACATATGCACCATTCTCTTCCAAGCATGAGTAAGCTGGATTTAAGCACCAGACCATGAGAATATATAGTAATAAAATCCCTTCTGTTGACAGCTTATCTAAAAATTTCATCAGCAAGGCGGGAAAACAACAACCCCTTGGCTCTGCTGTGTTTGACTACCTATAATTATAGTCTTTGGCAGCATTTATATATCACCTTTAACCAGATCAATTGACTACCTCCCGTAGCAGCTGAGTTTGTTCATTAACCAGATTCAGTATGCTCTCTGGAGAGTAGGTTCCAGGTAGCTCTCTTGTTAGTAATGGTGACTTGATCCCCTTTTTTCCCTAAATAATGTTTTTGAAAGCCTTATCAAGTAGTGGCCTTCATCCCATTTGTGGTGGTTGAATTCTGAAGGTTAGTCATGCATTAGGTTATCTTTGCTAATTTATGTTCAGTGAAGCTGGTGGGTTTGACAAAGCTGCCATAGACCAGTTTCAAGGGGTTTTGACTGCCCCGATTTAACCCATTTTATTTTTAAATTTAGGAATGAGTTATGGGAACAGTCCATGCATATTTTGGGAATGGCTAGCAAAGTATTTTTGGGGATTTCCTAAATTTCTCTGTTTCTCTGGCCAAATGCTGATTAGCATCTTCCTATAAACTCCTGGAGAAGCCCATGTACAAGTCAAGATGGATGTCATCAAATCATTGATAACTTGACTAGCTGGGGAAGGGCCACAGTTGGAGTATTAGTTATAGTTGTGAGCCCTAGCATGATTTTTCAGGATTCTCATAATATAAGTTATATTCCAAAAATAAGACCCAATTAGGGTCATCAGCCAGATGGCTGTACTTAGTACTGTATTTCCCTGAAAATAAGACCTAACTGGGAAATAAGACCCAACACATCTTTTGGAACAAAAATTAATACGAAGCCTGGTCTTATTTTCAGAAAACATGGGTATCACCTAGACCAAGGGTAGTCAACCTTTTTATACCTACCACCCACTTTTGTATCTCTGTTAGTAGTAAAAATTTCTAACCGCCCACCGGTTCCACAATAATGGTGATTTNCCCAAATCGATTCTCTTCCTAGCCTGCTTCTTCAAAAATCCAACCAGG